CCAACATATGTCATGCTCAGGGTATTGATATTTCCAAATCAAATGAGAATGAAAGGCTACTTGATAGCTGAAAAAGGGATTAAACTTAATTAACTGGTGCATTACAACATTGGAGTTACAAGCAATGCAATGAATTAAAACCAAACGATATAAACATAATGTCAACTAAATGATAAGATAGGTTAGACACATCTACTAGGCAAATTCAAATAGTATTAACAAAATCCATGACAATGAGAACAGAACAAAGGCAGGTCACCAAGACTACAACCTCCTTCTTATCATATTTACAAAACTCCAACAAACAGTGAATAATCCAAACGACGCAGTTGATAAACCCTCTACCGAGCAAACGAACTTTAAACTATTTCTAACAAAGCAAGACAGAGATCCAACTAATTACATAAATATAAAATTGATATAATGAATATAACGACCAACATATAATATCAAATTAACTTCCCAGATGTTTGACTCGTGCTTACTACCCAGGGACTCGCAGGAGAGTGAAGTTAAGCAAAGATTAAAAAGAAAGAACCACATACTCTTAATAACCGACCATATACCAAGTATTGAACACACATCACACACTACATTGAAACCGAATACAAAGGAGGCGAGGTTACCTTTCTTGGGGCAGCGAACTCGAGACAACAATGAGCTTGAGAGCAAAGATTCTTCTACCACAAGATTCAAGTACAAATAGACAGCCAAGAAGTTCAAAACCAGTTGCAAACTATATTTTAGAGATTCGCTTGAAACTTTAAAGTGTAAAGTAATTATCGCTTCAAAACTCAACTCCTGAGCCTCTGTCCAAATCCCTTGAGCATGGGAACTATTTATAGGGGAAGAACATATAAATTTTGGTGGGAAATCCATTGGATTTTTGAAAGAAAGAGTTGGAAATTATTATTTTTTGCTCCTTTTCGAGATCAACAGTAAAAGGCATGGAGGAGTTGTATCTTTATTCTGAAAATCCGCAAAAAGGAGAAAAGGGACGAGAAGGACGATGATGGTACTGTAGCGCCGTTTGGAGCTAGAACCATCCGAGTTTGAGGAAAAGAAGAAAAAGAGATATTAAGGGTACTGTTGGATGCCACTTCTCGGTGGAAATTACGGCGTGTGTCTGGCTTGCAGCGTACTTTGTTGCGTTCTTTGCTGGTTTGTCGCTGATTTTCAGCGGAGAAAGTGACCTACAGGGGTGGGTCGGGTATTGCTGCTGGGTTGGGAATGTTTAACAAATTGGATTTGTTATTGAGAATGGGTATCTTTGGAATTGTGTATTGGTGTGGGCTGCTGATTGTATTGTTGTTGAGCTGAAAATTGATTTGAAATTGGGCCCAAAACTAAAGCTGAAAAATGAGCTTAAAAGGGAAGTGAAAAAGATAGGCAATTGAATTGTGATTATAGCCAAATAGGAATTAAGAAGTTAGCCAATTGAGTAAAAATTTAGATGAATTAATATTAATTAATTAATGATCCTCTTAATCTTAACAAGATATAATAATTAAATTAATTATAAACTAATTAACTCAAAATTATGACTTTAACTTAAAATAAAATGAATTAATAAAGTTTCTAATTAAAACATAAAAATCTTTTGTGATGATTTTCAAATATTTATAAAATATACTAATCATATAATTATATAGAACATATAAATTTATTTAAAATTATAAATAAAATAAAAACGAAGCTATTATTTTGAAATTCTTATAAAACTAATTATTTAAAATCGTGTGAAATTTAAAAAGCTCGATGATTAATTTATTTATTGGAGGGCCAAAATTGGGTGTCAATAGTTGTCCCTATTTTGACTTGGATGATGAAAGAAATTCGAGGCAAATGAAATTGACGAATCCAATTTTGATCGACCACATCCTCATCTTTTGAAAAAGGATTCTGGTACGGACTTTAGCAATTATGGTCGAGCCCCGGTAGAAGGTTTACTACATTTCTCAGGCTATATGAGAAGTCAGACCGCTTGTAGTTCGATATGCTTGATTAAATGCACGATTATGAAAGACTTCAAAAGCTATCCCGATATCGAATTATGAAGAGAATGGAATGCTCGAGAATAAGATTTAAGAAAGGATGTCGAAATACAAACAGAGTTTTTAACATTGAACCCGCCCACATATCGTTAAACCTAAGGAATCAGGTTGTTTGTAGTTCGACTCGATCGATTGAAAAGAAAATCTATTATCCAAGATAACCTTTGGTTTTGGAGGAGTGAAAAATAAAACGAGTGTGGAAAATAGGCTTGCAACCTCCTAGCCATGAATGTGGAGCTCTTCACATCCTTAAGTAAGAACTTACATAGACATAATTTCCAAAGTTCGTGGTGCGCTGTCACTCAGATTAGAAAGTTGCCTCTGGTGGATGCGAAATTGAAATTGATGAACTAAAAGAAAAACCCACACGCCTTTTGATAGTGGTGTGGTTTGATTGTGGTGGAAGTTGCTGCTCAGCTCGCGTCCTAAGAGTTTGACACTCCTCTTTGGACTATGCCCAGTTCGCTGCAAAGAAAAAAGTTTCACGTTGTGCTGCATCCCTTTTGATGTCGTCCGCACCATGTTGGAACTTAATTGTTCTCCTTGAATATTTTACGTTAACTTTTATCAGTTTGGCATAATGCAAATAAAACATGTATCTCATATTTGCGACATGACTGTTAACTGTACTCTTCTTTTAGTATAGCAGTGGTGAAAAATAGACTAATGTTTCTTGATGGTTGAATATGATGGTCCTCTTGGGAGTTTAATATGAATGACTCTCTTGAATTTTGAGTATGATGGCCCTCTTGGCTTTTGAATATGATGGCCCTCTCGGCAATTTAGTATGAATGGCCTTCTCGGCAATTTGAATATGAATGGTTTTCTCAAAAGTTTGAATATGAATGGCCCTCTCAACAGTTTGAATATGAATGGCCCTCTCGGCGTTTGAATACAATGGCCTTCTTGGCATATGAATACGAATGGACCTCTCGGCAGTTTGAATATGCATGACCCTCTCGGAGTTTGAATACAATGGCCTTCTTGGCATTTGAATATGAATGGCCCTCTCGGCAGTTTGAATATAAATGGCCCTCTCGGCGTTTGAATATGATGGCCCTCTTGACTTTTGAATATGATGGCCCTCTCGGCAATTTAATATGAATGACCTTCTCGGCAGTTTGAATATGAATGGACCTCTCGGTGGTTTGAATATGAATGGCCCTCTCGGCGTCTTGAATGCAATGGCCTTCTTGGCATTTGAATATGAATATCCCTCTCGGCAGTTTGAATATGAATGGCCCTCTCAGCAATTTAATATGAATGGCCTTCTTGGCAGTTTGAATATGCATGGCCCTCTCGACAATTTGAATATGAATGGCCCTCTCGGCGGTTTAAATATGAATGGCCTTGTCGGCAGTTTGAATATGCATGGCCTTCTTGGCATTTAATATGAATGGCCCTCTCGGCAGTTTGAATATGAATGACCCTCTCGGCAGTTTGAATATGAATGTCCCTCTCGGCGTTTGAATACAATGGTCTTCTTGGCATTTGAATATGAATGGCCCTCTCGGCAGTTTGAATATGAATGGCCCTCTCGGCAATTTAATATGAATGGCCTTCTCGGCAGTTTAAATATGAATGGCCCTCTCGGCAATTTGAATATGAATGGCCCTCTCGGCGTTTGAATACAATGGATTTTACTGTGAATGTTGTATTCTTTGGTCAAGTAGATATGTTTCCTTCATAATAAGATATTTGCTGATAGGCTCTCCCGAAATAGTTGGTTGATAAATATATTATCTTTGATGGTCTTATTTATTCCTGCATCCACAAAAACAATGTTAGTTTTGGAACACTGATCTGTGTTGATTTCTTCCAATCGTCTTGCTTCTTATCTTGCTATCTTTGGATGTTTTGTTGACCCTACAAATCGCTATAGACAAAACACAAGATCATATTTAAATTAAAACACTTGTTATGTATGAAATTTTTAGAAACATAGTTTTAAAGAAAATCTCTGCCAATTAATTGTCATGACATGCACGACACAAACAAAACCCTTTGTCTCAGATTCTGTCATGATAGGTATCTTTTTGGAATTTCAGAACTTCTTATGAATATGTCATATTGAAGTACTTGAAGTTGACTCTGACGTTCCGAGTACCCTTGATGGAATTTTTGAGGCCTTCCTAAAAAATTCTGTCCCAGTTAAATGTTTTAAAAGAAATTTGATGGTAATCACGAAGTTCATGATCTTGCAATTTTTTTATATTTCCTCAAAATCATACCCTAATCAAATATTTTGATATGATCTTTGACCCTTGTTTGTAAGAAAGAACTCTTCGTGTAGAATTTTTGAGATCCTCTCAAAAATTCTGTCATAGTTTCCATTATGAAGGGACATGGAAATCTTATTGGGAATATGACCGAACCCTTGTGGCGCCTACGTATCCCGTTGAGGCAGGAATCAGGTCAAACGTAGTTCCCCTATCGATGGTTAACATGAATAAGAAATTTTGATAAGAAAACGACCGAGGCCAACATAGGCCGCCTACGTATCTCATTTTTGAGAATTCAGGTCGAACGTCGTTCAATTACAAAAGGAATGTCCCAAAGATTAATGCGACAATGATTACGAACAATTTGCGATTACAAGGAAATAAAGGAAAGAAATAACATTCTTCAAATGTAATATCTCTTGACGGCATTTGAATTGATATCTTTTCTCCATACTCTAGCGTCCATCTCTGCTAGGACCAAAGCTCCTGTTGACAGTATTTTGTGGACAACATACAGTTTTTGCCAGTTAGGTGCAAATTTCCCTTTATATTCCTCTTGATGAGGGAAAATGCGCTTCAACACCAATTGACCTACCTCAAATGTTTGAACTCTTACTTTCTTGTTGAAAGCACGAATCATTCTCTGTTGATACAACTGGCCATCACAAACGACACTCATTCTTTTCTCATCAATCAATGTTAACTGCTCATATAGATCACGAACCTATTCGGCATCGCTCAATCCAGCTTCCTGAATAATCCTCAAAGACGGTATCTTAACTTCAGCCGGTATCACTTCCTCTGTTCCGTATACTAACAAATACAGAGTTGCTCCAGTTGAAGTTCTAATTGTGGTGCGATAACCTAGCAAGGCATAAGGCAAATTTTCATGCCAACATTTGTAGTTGTCAATCATCTTTCTCAATATCCTCTTGATGTTCTTATTGGCAGCTTCCACAGCTCCATTCATTTGAGGACGATATGAAGTTGAATTATGGTGGGTAATTTTGAATTGTTCACATATCTCTTTCATGAAGTGAATGTTAAGATTTGCACCATTGTCCGTGATGAGAGACTCAGGAACTCCAAAACGACATATCAAATTATTGCGAACAAAATCAGTCACAACTTTCTTCGTCACAGCTTTATAGGAAGCAACTTCGACCCACTTCGTGAAATAATCAATGGCGACAAAAGAAAACCTATGACCATTGGAGGCAGCAGGCTCAATTGGTCCAATAACATCCATGCCCCATACTGCAAATGGCCAAAAAGAACTCATTACATAAAGCTCGTGAGGAGGTACTTTGATCAGATCTCCATGTACCTGACATTTATGAAATCTTTGGACAAATCGAACACAATCATTTTCCATAGTCATCCAGAAGAATCCTGCCCTTAAGATTTTATTTGCTAATGTAAACCCATTCATATGCGTCCCACACACTCCAGCGTGCACTTCTTCAAGCAATTTTGTGGCTTCTACAGCATCTACACATCGTAGTAATCCCGTATTCGGAGTCCTCCTATAAAGAATCTCCCCATTCAAAAAGAAGTTGTTTGTCATTCTTCAAATTGTTTTCTTTTGGATGTTTGTTGCTTTTTCAGGGTATTCGCCAGCTTCTAAGTACCTTTTCACATCGATATACCATGGATTTACATCGGATTCCTTTTCCACATGTAAACAATGTGCTGGTTGTTCTTTTAAACCTATCTCAAGTGGGTCAATGTAACTCTTTTGTCGGTGTTGTATCATAGAGGATATGGTTACAAGAGCATCAGCAAACTCGTTTTGTATTCTCGAGGTGTGCCTGAACTCGGTCTTCCTAAATCTTTTACATAACCTCCGTACCAGTTGTACGTAAGGTAAGATTTTAGGGTTCTTCACGGCCCATTCTCCTTGAACTTGATGAATCAACAAGTCTGAATCACCAATTATCAGTAATTCTTGAATGTTCATGTCAAGAGCCATTCTGATGCCAAGAATACAAGCTTCGTACTCAACCATGTTATTAGTGCATCGAAATCTAAGCTTCGTTGTTGCTGGAAAATGTTGTCCTGATTCAGATATCAATACTGCTCCAATTCCTGATCCTCTAGAGTTAACTGCTCCATCAAAGAACATTCTCTAACAAGGATATGATTCTTCTATGTCTTCCCCTACAAACAATACTTCTTCATCAGGAAAATACGTTTTAAGTGGTTCATATCCTTCATCTACTGGGTTTTCAGCAAGGTGGTCGGCCAACGCTTGGCCCTTGATTGCTTTCTAAGTCATGTATACTATGTCAAACTCACTCAATAACATTTGCCATTTTGCTAGCTTTCCTGTGGGCATTGCCTTCTGCAATATGTACTTGAGTGGGTCCATTCTTGAAATAAGATGTGTTGTATAAGCCGACAGATAATGTCTTAATTTTTGAGTAGCCCAAGTCAAAGCACAACAAGTTCACTCTAAGAGGGTAAACGAGCCTCATACGATGTGAATTTCTTGCTCAAGTAGTATATAGTTCTCTCCTTTCTTCCAGTTTCATCATGTTGTCCCAACACACACCCAAATGCGTTGTCAGAGACGGATAAATACAATAACAAAGGACTACCCGCGCGTGGTGGCACCAATACTGGTGGATTTAAAAGGTAACTTTGATAGTGTCAAAATCCTTCTGACATTCTTCGGTCCACTTGGTTGGCGCATTATTTCGTAACAACTTGAATATGGGTTCACAGATCACCGTTGATTGGGATATGAATCGACTGATGTAATATAGTCTTCCTAGAAAACTCATTACTTCCTTCTTAGTCTTTGGAGGAGGCAAGTCTTGAATTGTTCTGATCTTGGAAGGATCAAGCTCGATACCTCTTCTACTAACTATGAAACCGAGTAACTTCCCTGCAGGTACTCCAAATGCACATTTGGCTGGGTTCAACTTCAAATCATACCTATGTAACCTGTCAAAGAACTTTTCCAGGTGCATCAGATAATCTGAACTCTCGCGGGATTTTATGATGACATTGTCCACATACACCTCAATTTCTTTATGGATCATATCATGGAATATGGTGGTCATAGCTCTCATGTAAGTGGCTCCAACATTCTTGAGGCCGAACGACATCACTCGATAATGGTAGACTCCCCAAGCGGTGATGAATGTTGTTTACTCTGCATCTTCTTCATCCATTAAGATCTGGTGGTATCTCTCAAAACAATCCACGAAAGATTTCAACTCATACTTGGAATAATTATCAATGAGTATATGGATGTTTGGCAACGGGAAATTGTCTTTTGGACTTGCTTTGTTGAGATCCCGATAATCCACGCATATCCTAATCTTTCCATCTTTCTTTGCTACTGGAACAATGTTAGACAACCAAGTGGGATACTTAGTCACTTCAAAGACCTTCGATTCGATCTGCTTCATGACCTCTTCCTTTATTCTTAAACTCATATCAGGTTTGAACTTTTTGGTTTACTGCTTTACCAGACAATACTCTGAATTGATAGGCAACCTATGGGAAACAATATCAGTGCTTAATCCTGGCATATCATCATAAGACCAGGCAAACACATCGATGTATTGTTTGAGCAACTCGACCAATTTTTCCTTTTCTATTGTTGTCAAATAAATACTGACTCGGGTTTCTCTAACCGACTCGTCATCTCCTAAGTTGACTATCTCTGTCTCATCCAGATTGGGATTTTTATTATCTGCAAGGTTCCTCAAGTCGTCAGTCTGGTGTTCAGGCATCATAGTTTCCTCATCATATTCTTCACATTCATCTTCATTGACTTTACTTAGTTCACCATGTTCGTGACATGTCATGACATGGCAAGTTTAGATTCATTTTTACTGAAAAGAAAATAAAACAATCATGTTAGATAGAAAGAATTTAAATGTATATATTAGAAAGTAATTTGCAAAGGCAAGATAAAAAATAAACGAGGCTTTTCATTGGAAAAAAGGCGTACAAACTTTTATCATGACTCATGTCAACGTGAACGATGAAAATAAAGTGACATAAAAGGTTGTTTCGAACCTTGTCCGAACTACACCGATTTTCAAAAGTAAAACTTTAAATCTTGTCTTTGTTTACCAAGCAATTCGATGAATCATAAGTGGAGTGCCCACCCAATTCTGTAGCATCACTTCAGGTTTGGCATCTCGGATGGTGGATGTCGCAGTGCATTCTTCCAAGATCACAACACAATCTCCTTCATCAAGCAATCATCTCATCCCTTCCACTAGACCATCACTCTCGGACTTTAAAGCTTTAGCAATAAATAACTGGTACAATACTCGAGTAGGCTTTGGTGTATCAAGGCCATGTTTCTTCCTTGCTTCTGCTTCGAATAATTCCTCCTTTGTTGGGGTATAACCAACGCCAAACCGGAAATTTTGAAGTGGGATAGGAAGAGGTTCGGATATGCCATCCAAATTCTTGCCCAACTCACGTCCAGGCTCAAAACCGCTTCTTAGCATGGTTGTGGCAAGCATTTTATACACCGACGGCATTGGTGTTTGCGGTGTTGTATCTTCAAAAGCAGCACTCATTATCTCCACTATGTGAAAGTCAGTACCTTGAGATGAATCGTCAATAACGGGAACACAGAATCCAGGGTAACTACGATTACTCCCTTCACCATGAATGACAATTTCATGGTCCTCACAGATGAACTTCAAGATTTGATGCAATGTGGATGGAACTGCTCCGACCGCATGGATCCATGGTCTTCCTAGCAACATATTGTATCATGTGGATATACCCATCACTTGGAATTCAGTGACAAATTCTGCAGGCCCCATTTGGATACACAAGTCTATCTCCCCCATGGTCTCTCTTTGCGAACCATCGAACGCCCTTACATTCATGCGACTTTGATAGATTTTTCCAACATCATGATTTAGCTGAGTAAGGGTTGATAACAGGCAAATATTGAATCTTGAACCATTATCAATCAATACTTGAGCTACAAACTTGTCCCTACATTTGACAATGATATACAAGGCACGGTTGTGCATCATTCCCTCAATTGGTAACTCCTCTTCTCGAAAAGAGATTTGGTGACTCCTAATGACATGACTAACCATAGTTTCAAGATTATCACCACTTGTTCCCGTCGGTACATATGCTTCATCGAGTACCTTCAACAATGCTTTCCGATGGTACTCAGAACTCATCAATAGAGACCAAACAAAAATTTGAGCGAGAGTTTTCTTCGAATGCTTGACAATGGAATACTCCTTAGGCTGCATTCTTCGACAAAACTCTTCACTTCTGTGATCGGCCTTTTTTGGTTCTCCTTTCTTCGTGTTTCTTGAGCTAACTCTTTCGGAACATAGCATCTTCTAGAAGGTCTCATCCCTTGAGCTGTAGCCGCCTGGACAATGAACTTTTCTTTGGGATGCTCATTGTTTCTTTCCTTTACCAAAGCAAATGCCTGATGAGGTGCAGTTATTACAAAAAACTCTGGAAGCCTTTATGGTCAAAGAGGCCACTGTTGGTATGAGTGAGTTGACATTTGTTTTACCGACGCTCCCATTAGCGAGCCAATCTTCGTCACTTTCAATCATATTAATGGGTCGCTTCCTCATGATTCGGTAATGGGTTAAGATTCACATTGGGGGAAGGGGCCTGAAGAGTGATGACTATTATCGATCAAATCTTGAATCTTATGTTTTAAATTGATACACTCTTCGGTATCATGTCCTGCTCCTCCAGAATGGTAAGCGCATCGTTGATCCGCTCGAAAGAACTTTGTTGTGGAATTAATTGTCCTTGCATCTACTGGTTGGATCTGTAACGACCCGCTAGGTCGTTTTTAGAACTAGGACTATTTTGACTCCTTCCAAAAAATTTAAAGGGGTATTTTTAACTATTTAGTAACTACAATTATTTAGTTTACCATTCCTTTTTCTAAAATATTTAATATAGTGATAGTTAATGGGCCAAGTGTGTAGTTTGTGTATTTTCCTTTACTCCTCAGCCATGTAATTAAATTAAGTTAGTGGGATACCCCACTTTCAATACTTAATTAGTTATTAGCAAAAAATAAAAGAAAAGAAAAGAGGTAGAAGGGCAAAGAAACGGAAGAACAGAGGCGGCCAAGTTAGAGATCGTTCAAATTCTTTTTTCTTAAATCCATGTGTAGTTAAGATAAAAGAATGATTCCTTGTCTGATTTTATTTATTATTATTATTATGGTTAGTGAGTTCTTACTGTATTTACATAAATTGTAGGAAAGTTTGAGAGGGGTAAGTTGCAGGGATTATTGTAAATTTTGGCATTAAATAAGAACAAAAAGGGGTAATTGGATTGGTGATCAAAGGTGTAACAAAAATATAACATAATAATTTCCAATCTAATGGGTCCCTTACCAGTGAATTGGTTTTAATTGTTGGGAATTTTTTTTATATTTTTTTTGTTGTTGTTATTTAATTCTCTTTTTCGTTTTTTTGGTTTTAATGGTAAGTTCCATATTCGATTGTTGCCAGTGAACCCCATTGATTTGGTCTTTTGCTTAGATGAATTCAAATGAGACAAAAGTGATTCCCATTTGATTGCCAGCGATGCTTTCCCTTTTTATTTTTACTTTATTTATTTATTTATTTATTTTATTGAGATAGATAATTAATTATTAGGTGTTATTTTATATGATCTAACATTGAATTTTAGTCCATTTGAAGAGGTTAGAGTTAAGTTCTTGGCTTGAAACTTAGCGAGTATGAAAAATTTGGCATACCAATATATATCAAGATTTGGAGTTTGTTTAAAATATGAGTGAGTTTTAGCGTCTATGATAGACATATAATAATTTGAAATGTCTACAAAAAAA